TGCAATCGCAACAGTTACTGAGCTGTTGCGCCTTCTGAACGTGCCCAATATATAAGGAATATTAAAAAAAAAATGGTGTACGCAGACTTTTGCTGTTAAGTGTAGCTTAACTAAATTCTATGGTTATATTTTGCATTAAATTTTATAAGTACGTGTATGTATGTATAAAAAAGACATTAATGTTACCAATAACGACTTTTTTTGGCATCTTTTAGCAGTTGCCCCATAAACTATGTAGAGAATTACATATTAAATAAACGAAAACACTTTGCTATTAGTTTTGGGTCTAAGAAAATCGAAAAAATACATTGACGACAGCGCAACTAGCAACATATAAGTTTCAACCGTCCAGCTCTGCATCCCTTTTGCAGTAGTTCAGGGACAGTTATGAAATTTGTAGGGCGGAACTTGCGCTTTGCCCCAAATTTTGCTGCAGGGTACATATTGACTGCTGAGTGGAAGATCAACGCATCTAGGCAGCCAGTTCGAAAATGCCCTATCGCAAAAAACTTTTCAATAACGCGTTATTTCAGAATTTTATTGAAAAACACCCCATCTCAGAATTTGATTGAAGAACGCTCTATCCAGAATTCGGTACAAAATTGCCCTAACTCACTTCAAAATGTATTGAAAATGTGCTGATATAGTGCGTTTTTGCAACGAATTCTGAAATAGGGCGTTTTTCGACCAAATTCCGAAATAGGGCATTCTTGAAACTTTTTTTGAGATAGGGCGTTTTCGAACTGGCTGCCGAGATAGGTCGATCTTCCACTCAGCAGTCGATGTGTACTTATAAACATAATCTTGCTCACACAGTTTCCAATTACCAAAATCCGTAAAATTACCCTTCACTTGCTATGTTCAACACATCCGATTTTAAATATTATTGAAAGATACCTCTAGGCTCCATATTTACATACATATACATATGTATATCCCTTTGAGGTCATATTGACCTGAATTCCCCCGTTCAACCAGTAACTTGGGTTATCTCAGTTTCTACCAAGCTAATTTAATATACAGCCAATGTATACGCACATACCTATGTACGCATATTCATTGATTTATGGGAGGTTTTTAAATGTATTTAAAAAGTTGTATGAAAGGGCAATAAGCACATGTGACGTAGGAGAATTAACATAAAAAATGCATATGTATAAGTATGTATGTGCATTAGGGTGGTCCAAAAACAGTAAAGTCGGAATTTTAATGCTCTCACCCCCTAGGATTGTTCTGTATCGAAAAAAGTACGCCCCTATTTTTTTATTTTGAATTTTGTATTTTTATATCGGGGAAAAAAGAAACCTTTCGTAGAAATGGTATAGAATTCTTGAAAATCAGTATTTTTCGATCGGAAAACTTAGGTTCTCTTCAGGAGACTTTCAATAATAATACGCAATTATTTATTTAACCATATTTAAATACTAACGATTTTTTATTGGTGGTCCTTTTGCATTTTTCGCGGTTTTTGTGGATTTTTGGCTGACCTATAAATTATAGTTAGCGTTAATTAAACAATTGGGTATTATTACTGGGAATCTTCTGCAGATAAACAGAGTTTTCCGATAGAAAAATATTGATTTTTAAGAATTCTATACCATTTCTACCAAAAGTAGTTTTTTCTCCATATAAAATAATTGGAAAACTTTGGGCGCTTTGAGCGACCTCGAAATATTTTTTGATTTCAAAATAAAAAAATATGGGTATATTTTTTCGGTATAGAACAACAATCCTAGGGGGTGAGAGCATACAAATTTCGACCTTACTTTTTCACCTGCATATTTGGACTACCCTAATGTACATACATACACATGC